TAGTTCCGGACTTCGGTCCGATGCAGGGACAAGGTCCCAGTCAGTTCCGGACTTCGGTCCGATGCAGTTAGTTCCGGACTTCGGTCCGATGCAGGGGACAAGGTCCCAGTCAGTTCCGGACTTCGGTCCGATGCAGTTTCCGGGCTTCGGCCCGATGCAGTGGGCAAGGCCCAATATGTGTTTTATATGTTATTGTATGGTATGTGGTAGTTTGGGGGAGCTCACTAAGCTTCGTGCTTACAGTTTCAGTTTGGTTTCAGGTACTTCCGCAAGCAAAGGGAAGAGCTCGGGGTGACAGCATCGCACACACCACAGCATAGCTTTTATCCTGGGGATGTCTCTTGATGTTTTGGAATGATGTAGTATGATACAGTTTTCCACACAATATTTTATTATGTTTTGGGGATACATCGCGTATGTTTTATGTTATGATACTTATATTATGGTTTTGATTATATGGAAAAACGAAATTTTTGGGTCGTGTTTTTGGGTCGTTTCATTAGCCCACTCTTTCTTGCTTCCAGCTCCTCATTTGCTTCCTTTTCAACCTAAGAATGTCTTTGCTACTACAAAACATATTCAAACATAATAAGTATCTTATATCCCAAAATAAACATAATTGTAGTTAAAAGTAGTAGAAATATTGATATGGGCATATTTAATCATATAATTCATGCATCATCTTAATACTTTATACTGTTTTTGTCTCAAATATTGAATAAAAGATACTTAATTAGTTTAAAATTTCATTTTCAGCAACAAAGACATCTCTGAAGGAAAAGGAAGCGAAATTGGCGATTGGAAGCTTCAATCTTGGATTTTGAAGAAAGAAGATGAAAATGCAAAAGAACACAGTGTGTTATCCTTGAAGAACACGACGTCTTAAATTCATAAACACGTCGTGTTGCACCGCTTTTCAGAATCTATATATTTGGATCGTTTCTGTTCGAATAACGAATGAATACTTGGAGTTTTTATTGACTTTTGGATGCCATAGACATCCCTATGAGCTGTAGATTTCAGAATTTGACTAGAAGCTTTGAATTGAAGAGATCTATGGCAAAAATCATTGGTTACTTACTTAATTCCTTTGTTTACATCATGTTTGCATTGATGAATTCAGTTTTTATGATTGTTTCTGCTAAGGTCATGGGCTAAACAACTTACTTTCGTTTAGAGTAGAGGATCTTAAGATTATGGTTTGATTAAGTGGCTTTGGATTATATTGATTTGAATATTTATCATGTTAAGCTTGTTAAAAGAACCTTATGTGTTAATGATAATTATTTTATGTTGATTACTAGTAAATTGAGATTGTATAAACATCTTCTTGATTGCTTGCCTCTTATGATTTTGTGAAAACAAGATTATAAGCCTAGTGTTGTAAACATAACCTAGGTTTAACTAGAGATAAGTAAATCAATGTGTAAGCTATATATGCTGACCAACCATATATAAGTTAATTGAACCAACCAATTTAATTAACTACTATTACAAGTCTTGCTTGATTCGAACTGAACACTTGGAAACTTGTTAGTTTAATCAGTTAATCACTGCTTGAATTGACTTGTTTGTTAAATAGTTAGTAATAGTGAACATGAGCCTAATCACATTAGAAATCGGTAATTGATGATATATTAATCCATTGCACTTGCCATGAAATCAACCATAGGAATAAGTGAATCGAATCTAAACGGGAGTCTTTTTAATATTATTGAATCTAGTTGTCATTTGTTCTTCTTTTAGTCGTTAATTGTTCTTTGTTATGTGTTTAAGTAATTGATTAAGTTTCTAGTCTTGCAAAACTAGAGAAAAACCGCTTATTTAATGATTGTTTTAAATTAGTTAAAATTAGTAATAGCTTTGATTGTTTTTACCGTTCCATGTGTTCGATACCTTAGTTACCTTCACTAAACTACTAATCGATAGGTACACTACCTATCGTGTGTTTGTTTTTGTTTAAGTTAGTTAGGATTAAAACTAGTACATTCCACATGTATCAGATATGCACAAAATACATGATTAAATATGCACCTATCAGTTGGAAAACTCAACTTTTTGTCTTATACAAACTTCATAAAAAAACAAAATTCAAAATAAAATAAAATTTTCAAATTGAACCATGGAAAGTAAGCTTCGTCTTCGTATTGTGTCTATTGGTTGTGTGTTGCTTGCATCCCTTGGTTTTCTATCGTGTGCGTCCCTTGGTATTCTGTCGCTTGCGTCCCTTGGTTTTTTGTCGCTTTTGTCCCACCTCCTGATGCACCACTACGTTGGCTACTCTTCTTTTACTTCTTTAGGAAAATTTCCTTACAAGTCCTTACATTATGTGTTGTACTATGATATATATATAGTACATCTTCTTACTATCGGTTCCTCACCCTATGAGGGGATACGGTTGGTGTTTTCGATCAACTACCTTGACGTATTTCCATTACCGGAGGGTTAACAACCATAAGGTCATCAGGAACCTCCCAATCACAATGTCCTGGAAGGGGGGGGGGGTAGACGGCCTCATCATAGGTTCTTTGATACGTTTCAATTTTGTACGCGTCTATAGCCATATGCCCATAGTTTTCATTTTTCAAGTGCGTTAGTACCATTATCACATGACCACAAGGAAAACCAATTAGTTGCTAATATATGCAGGAACAAGTCTACTATACTCAAAATCTATGTTCATATGAAGATATGAGGAGTCCTCTTCGTATCTGCATGTTGGCATATTCTCCATTTTTTAAAAATTGTTTTATTGCTAAAAAGTCTCTCAAGGTTTCATACATTGGGATTAAACTAAAGCGTTTATTCTTGGTTTCCAAGAGTGTAATTGAAAAGATGGAAAAAGAGGTTAGAGAATCTACTTCCAATTCAAGATGCATATTTTCTTTTTCTATCTATTATTTTAAACCCTAACCCTAGCATGTTATCTTACCACATTTACAGTCGCCTCCCTCACCACTTTATCCGCTTCTATCATGACCTGCTAGGATAACCTCCGCCTTTGTTAACTCAACTATGAGCTCCTTCGACGCTACTACCTCCATTTCAGCCATCTGCTCTAGCTACATCACCAATGCAACTACCTCTTTCTGACATATTTACGTTACCCACTAGAACCCATTTCGATTTAAGTTGAAAATCTGAAATAAATGGAAAAACAGATAAGGATTATCGTCAAACCGAATTGGAAAGCAAACTGAAACAATGGAGAAAAAAAATATGGTCGTAAACACCCATAATATGCAGGTGAGTTTCGTGTATGTTACAAACTGAACTATACAACTTAGTAATAAAAACTTGTAACAATCAAGGTTCGGGTAATTACTCTTTCTCCCTTGGAATGAAATTTATTTGCAAAAGGTTCCCTACGTACGTTGGGCGTAAATAGGTGTATGCTTAACATATAGGGGGGGGGGGAAGTTGGTCATGGGTGTGGTCCACATAAGCAGGGTGTACCAAGCAGTATGCGAGGTGTGCGTGGCTCAGGACTAAAACCCTAATATTCGGACTTCTGACATATTTAAACATCCTTAATTCATTTGGACCTTACCCTAACCAGCCTCCATCATTCTCAAACTTCCCTAAAACCCTAAAATCCTTTATGTGTGCCTCTTAAGCATGTGAGTGCCTCCAATACCTCATTTTTGGTGTTCTAGCAAGGAGAATGAAGTGGAAGCAAGCCTTGGACGTGGAAAAGTTTTTGGATCCTACATTTGGATCTCATTGGGAAGCTTGGGGAGATAAAAAGTTCAAACCTTTCCATCTCTTTTGCTAGTTTCAGTTAGGGTTTTGTTATGAAGTCTATTTTTGGTTCTTAGACCCTCTTATGTGAGTTGTGCAATTCCAGCTCCTTGAGCATGATTGACGCATAAAGTTTCCATCTTGAAGGTTGTATTGAGACCATGCATGAGTTTGAGGTCTCAAAATGTGATCTTAATGGGAGAAATGAAGTATTGGGGACCCATGTGGCATGCAAGCGCATAAAGTTTCCAAATGTATACCCTAACACATCTTAATAGACTTAGATCTGAAGTTGTACGTTGAAATCTTAAGCATTAAGAACTTAATAGACTTTTGTGCATGATTTGGTTGTATTCTAGGCGTAAGGTCGCGTACGCAGTGTTTACGACCAAAGGGTCAAGTACGCTAAGCGTACTGATGTCGTACATGTTGGATTAGGTGTCTAAGTTCATAACTATATTTGGAATGTACTTGACCCGATTAGCATGGTCTATTTGGGTTGCATGGTATCATGCATTTTGATAGACTAAAATGAGAGAAATAACACTTAAGGTTTATTAATATATTATAAGTTCTAATATATTAATAGTATTATTTAATTAGTATTGATCAAGAATTAATTTGGAATTTATTAAGTGATCAAAAGAAGACTAATTAAATATATGGATTGATTGTGTAAATCACTCATACTTGTATAGTAGGCTAATGCTCCATGGATTATCAAGTTGGGCTAAAACCCATAGGATGCTCCATGGATACTCCATGGTGTTTATAGAACCTATGGGTCATGGAAATGAAAGGTCATGACAATTAGGGTTTACATGGTGTAACCCTAATTGTAACACACTATATAAGGATCCTTATGTTCACCAAAATCGGCAATTAAGGAAGAAAGAAGAGGGATAGCCAATCTCTAAGTGTTCTTCATTTCTCTTAAAGTCATTCCAATAGCATTTGGAGTTGTGTGAGACATTTGAGGCATCACACTTGGGGTGCTAGGCTCACAAGGTTTTCAAGGAATCCAAACTACTACAAGGTTTGTTTTCTAGCTTACTTTTATGTTTAAAAGTTCCCCATGTATGCTAGATAGGATCATGACCCTTGGAAAATCAATTTTGCATGTATCATAGTCAAACATAGATCCAAGGCTTCTAGGGTTGCATGAACACCTTAGGAGTGTTAGAATGCTCAAAACATTACAGTACACACATAGGAGAATTGGGCTATCAAGAGAACAAGTGGAATACACTCTCATCTCGATGCGCCAACGAGCAATCAATAGTCGCATCCTCTTTGTGTATCCATCGAATGAAGAAATTCATCAAGAGCTTCAATCTTCCATCGATGCAGTCAAGGATATACAGAGTTCAGAACTTCATGTTCTTACCGATATCTTAGATGATCCTCCTCCAAAGTTTGTGAGTGTTGCATATGTTTCTTCTCCAGTTGTCGATGATGAAGACTCAGAAGAAGTCGTATTTGAAGATGACAACACAATTGTCGGTGTCATTCATATTCCCTCCTTGCTCAACATTTTTTACAAGCCATCCTCCTTTAAAGCTCAATTCAATTTTAGAGTCTCTTCGTCCTCGGAAGCTTCAGATGAAAATTTTGAATATGAGCAAAATTACGTTGTTCCTCCTCCTGCAGAAAACACATTAGAAGTTCATCAAGATTCTCCTACTAGAAAAAGCTCCACGGGGTGATTACAAGAGCAAAGATGATGTTGATCACCAGTATAAAAGTTCCACTTTGGATACTGGATCCTCCGATGAAAATACTACATATCCTTTTGCCTTGCTGGAACTCAGAGATAACGTTGCTACAGAAAACTCCACGGTTGACAAGGTCACTCAGCAAGTAGCAGACCTTGAGTCAAAACTGGTCCTGGTACTCAAATCTCTTTTCGAGATCAAGGTTGTCGCTCCGTCTGAACTTGAACTTGCAAATCAGCTGGACCAACTTATCTTGTTTCGCCTAAGTCATACTCTAGAAGATGTCAAATCACGTTACAAGGGCAACATGGATCATCACATCACTACCATCAACACTTGTCATAACTAGGAATTCTGATGCATTGTAAACACTTAGCAAGGATAACATTGTAACTAAAACTTGAAAGCATGTAGATGCTTATTCAATGACAACAAAATTTCATCAAACATACTATACAAACACTCAAATAGTCAACAAAAGGTTGGAATCCCTAGAAATCCCGGTTTAAGTCCAATATGGACTAGAATTTCCTTATTGGGCCTAATGGGCCAATAAACTTCCAATTTAACTATTTTGGGCTTAGAACCCCTAAATGGGATCTCATTGGACCCACTTTCATGAAACTTAACCTTTAGGGCCATAATGGGCCTAAAATGGATTAGTTTACCTTAATGGGCCTTGTTGGGCCATAACAATCCAATAAGCCCTAAAGAGCCACAAATCCATTCTTTCATGCAAGATTGGGCCGTAACCCACTCCAAAGGCCAAATGGGCCGAAAACTATCAATTTAGGCTTCACATTACAAAACTCAAACACTAAGGCCCAAATCTTTTCTTTTCCTTTTCTCTCTCTCTCTCTCTCTCTCTCAGCCTATGTAAAAAACAAAAAAAAAATGGAAAAAGATGTATTTGGGAGGGTTGACCTTGGAGGTGCCACCTCCTTAATACACCCCATATCTCCATGCAAAGATCCAACATATATCCATGATAGTCATTTCATCACCTCTCTCTTCCCTTCTCTTTTTCTTCTTCGGCCTAGAGCACAAGGAAAACACACACACAACATCAAACTTCTTCCAAACTCTCTCAAGTATTCTCCTCCTTTCCACTCCAAAATCTTGAAATTTTGCTTGTGTATCAAGAGGATTTCAAGAGAATACCATCACTTCTTGGTAAGTTATATATATCCAAGGATTATATAACTCTTTTCTCATGATTAGATCCCTTCTCTTAAACATTTGTGGTAATCATACTCCTAGAATCACCTCAAGTTCGAGATCCACATCAAGGTGTTGTTAGGACCAAAACTCTTCTTCTTATCTTCTTCAAAAACTAAAACAACTAAGCAAGGTGAGTTCATTCCCATCTATTTTTGGTTTTCATATATTTTATAGGGGAGAATATAAGTAAAATGTGTAGATCTATGTGTATTTGTATGTTATGTGTGATTTCTTGTGTTTATGTGGTAAATATGTGTCAAAAATGAAAGATATTTCGAGATCTATAGTTCAAGGAGGAAAAATATGTTATCTAGGATGTATTACACTTAAAAGGTTAAGAAAAACTATCATCTAAGGTTGTAATAAGCATGCTACAACATAAAATTCATTTTTGGACTATTTTTGTCAAATAAACAAAAGTTGGGAAAAAGTTGTCATTTACGACTTTTACAAGGATAAAAAGAGTCTAAATAGTTAAAATAGAAGTTTTTAGGAACATTATGCTTTTCAAAGGACTAAAAATGTAAATTGTACCCTATTGGGCTAAAATTTTGGCTTTTCGGCCCATAGGCCCAAACTTGCAAAAATATGGTTTTTAAGGGGCTGAAATGGTAAAATTCTCAAAACAATGGGTAGAAAGGTAAATAAAACTATTTTAGGGGTTGAAATGACCTATTTTCCAAAAAGGATTAAAAATATAAATTTTTTTGATTTTGGGTCAAATTTGTAAAAGTTGCGAAAAGTTTGGATTATAAATGAAAATCTTTTTACTAAAGGGGTTGAAACTGCCAAAAAGTAAACATTGGGCTGAAAACATTATTTAAATAAGTCCTTGGGCCAAAAAGTCAAGAAAGATAGTTTAAGGACCTAAAATGTCATTTTTTTTATATAAAAAGTGACTAAAATGGTCATTTTTATTTAAAGAAGAGCTGAAAATGTCAAACCAATATTTTTGAGTCAATTATTTTATTATTAAGATAACTTATGAATTTAGAATAAAAAATATACATATATTTTCTTAAATTTAAATATCGTTATAAAACAATCGACAAACTTCGTGCCTTTGCGATCCAACAATTGTTCAAACAAAATTCCTGACATTTATACTATACAAAAACAAGTAAACATTCAAATTGTTGGGCTTAAAAAATTCTAATCATGCTTATTGGGCCTTTGTGACCCATTAATATGACTTTTGGGCCTAACACAAATAATACATGTTTATTGGGCCTCTGTGGCTCATTAACATTGCTAGTAAGGTCCAAATAAATCATATGCGAAATAGGCCAACGCTTCCTTCGTATACTCGACAGCCATAAATAACAAACGTGATTTGTAGGACCTCATGGTCATCTTCTCCTCGATTGTTAGGCTTACCTTCTATTCAAGTAAACAAAAATCAGGTCGTTAATCAAGGTTAATCAAATTCAATTGGATTAAGTGAGTAATAACGGGCGACACCAATAAGTGTCGGTCGTAGCCTGTAGTTATAATCAAAGTCTCCTGGAGGGAGAGCGAGAGTTTGTGTATAGATCTATACGGGGGTGACTCCCCCACACCTCAGTTGTTCGCTATAGTTAGACTCGGCATATCTACGGTGACAAAATCTTAAGATCAATTCCGGCGTTCACTAGAATACCAAGACAAACAAACTAGTCATTATCATGCATGGTTATAACGACTCACATAATAAATCCAATACTATCTAAGTAATCAAGAGAGTTCATAATCATTCGTTGACAAAATCAATACTATCTAAGTAATCAAGAGAGTTCATAATCATTCGTTCATAATCAAAGTCTCCTGGAGGGAGAGCGAGAGTTTGTGTATAGATCTATACGGGGGTGACTCCCCCACACCTCAGTTGTTCGCTATAGTTAGACTCGGCATATCTACGGTGACAAAATCTTAAGATCAATTCCGGCGTTCACTAGAATACCAAGACAAACAAACTAGTCATTATCATGCATGGTTATAACGACTCACATAATAAATCCAATACTATCTAAGTAATCAAGAGAGTTCATAATCATTCGTTGTGACGGTATAATAATTCGAAACAATCATATTATTTTATCGGATAACATCGGGTTTTTCAGGGAAATCAACACTATTCACTTGTATTTTCAATAACTATAATGCAAAACTTCTCATTTATACACGCTTTTGAAATCATTCATGCATAAACCTATGGATCTTCACACTTTTGTATATTCAATTGTCGTTTCAGAAAATATCGGATTTTCTAGGTTTTTATAAACTGCACAAAACATTTTCATATCAACCCTGCTTATGAACTCACCAACATTCCATATGTTGACGTTTACAAAATAATTTGTATTCTCAGGTAACAGATAAATTGAAGAACGATACCAAGTGTATTAGGATGTTATATTTTGAAAAACTATCAATCAATTCACTATGGAAATGTAATATTTAGACAAGGTACTTGATGTGAACAATGTCAGTTGTAATATATTGATGCATGGTGATGTTTATGTTATGTTTCATATATATACATTGTGATGATATTTCAATTTAAGTCACGCGAGCCCTCGGACGTTTCCGCCGTCTGGTTCAGGGGTGTGACAGGTTGGTATCAGAGTTCTGTTTATAGTGAACTGGCATATCTAACCACACATTGATATGAAACTATAAACCAAAGAGGGACTAAAACAACTCTGAACAAAACAAATAATATATAACGATAAAACACCTTTACTTGTGCGATATAAGAAGAAGAATATAATACCAAATCAAATAAGATGATCCTGGCATCTCGGTTAAGCCGAGACTGTTCATAGTTGTATTAAGGGGGTGAATATAGCCTGATCAACTACATTTCCTCCATAATACAACTATTGCATGCCCTGTGGAAATCGCGATGGTCAGTAAACTTAAAACATACCCCTTTGTGACCAAGAAGAGCGCATCAACCTAACCTTTTAAATATATAAACAATACACCTAGTTTATAGGACCACGAACTCACAAAAATTTTAGGCACTCAACATCTTTCCGCTCCATGACAGAAAGATGCCACAACAAACCGCCCGTGGAAACCCTGAGTCGATACCACCAGAAATCAACTCAGCTGTATCTGCGGCGGTCACAGCGGCACTAGCATAGATCCATAATGGGAACAATGATGGACACAATGGACAAGGGGTTGGAAGTTCGAACAACAAAATAAATCAAGGGACTACCAAGAAATGCTCTTACAAAGACTTCACCAACGCCAAGCCACGAACCTTTAATGGCACAAGGGGAATGATAACCCTAAATAGATGGATTGAAAAGGTGGAATCGGTGTTCGAGATATGTGAAGCCCCGAGGAGATGAAAGTGAAGTTTGTCGCATGCACATTCGTTGACCAAGCTCTCACCTGGTGGAATGGACATATAGAGGCCATGACTCTCCTCGTAGCCAATGCCATGTCGTGGGCACAGTTGAAAGAAATGCTGATGGCCGAGTACTGCCCACGTCGCGAAATTCAGAAATGGAGCAAGAGTTATGGAATCTCACCGTCTGAAACTCCGACATTGATGCATACATATCAAGGTTCAGTGAACTGTCTCTGTTGTGCCCTAGCATGATTACTTCATAGGGAAATAAAATCGAATGATTCATCTTGGGGTTAACCTCCCCAATTCAAGGAAATGCGATAACTGCAAATCCTGAAACCTTCGACACTGCCAAGAGGTTGGCCAAGAAGCTGTACGACCACAACAAGAAGAAGGGCGAGAAGTTAGGGGAAACTGAAGGCAAGAAGGAGAGTGACAACAAGAAAGGAAAGAATAACAAGAGAAATGGGTGACAAGGCTAAGAGTCGTCGAATAAATAACAAACAACGATAGTTCATGTTGTAACCACTCAAGTTCCCTCCACACCACATGTTCCAACCTCATCTACCTCAAGTGCCCCCAAGCAGTACTCCGGGAATCTCCCAAAGTGCAACAAGTGCAATTTTCATCACAATGGCGAATGCAGGGAGATGCATTGTACTAGTTGCAATCGAAAGGGTCACACTACAAAATACTGCAGGACCTATCCTCCCCAGAACCAGCATCAGGGAACCAACAACAACAACAACAACAACCGTAATTACAACACCAACAACCGCAACAAC